GAGATGACATGACCCACCCTAGCCATGCAGGCCAGAGGGGCGGAGTTGACATAACCTGGGCTTTACAGCTGCCCAGTGTGTTCTCTCTGTTCCGTCTCCCATCTCCTTATTTACACTGAGGAGCTTGTCAGAGCTGGTGCCTTCGAAGGACACACCAAGGGCATGAATGTGCAGGAAAGCAGGAAAGAACAGAACTGATGACTAGAGGGATTGGAATATTCAGGTCTCGACGATTCGTCAATAGCCTCGAAGGTCTGTGGCAGGTCATAATTTATCACTGAGGCCCAAGTTTGAATTCTTTGCTGCAAGCAGCTCTAGCTGACTGCCCAGCATATGATTCTCAGCTCAACTTTCCAATTCTCCCCTCCTGTGGGAGGCAGGGGGATTGGGGTGAGAACACACATGAGCTTTAGGGGTAGCCCATCTGGGGCAAAATCCCAGCCGTGCCACTTGAAGCTGTGTGACCTTGAGTAAGTGGCTTCCTGTCTCTGAACCTGCTTTCTGATATGTAATACAAGGATAATAATACCTATCTCAAAGGGCTATTGAGAGGATTAAATAAGAGCAGTAATTCATGGATTCTGCAGGACATCCAAGGAACTGGTCACAGTGTGGTTCAGGGTAGAGGGGGTAATGGGAGACAGGAGTCCAGTGGAGGGAGACTTGCTTTCCACCATATACCTTTTTGTAATTTTTTTAAAAAAGATTTGTTTATTGATTATTTTTTTAGAGAGAGAGGAAGGGAGAGGGAGAGAGAAATATTGATGTGAGAGCAGAACATTGATCGCCTGCCTCCTGCACGCTCCCTACCGGGGATTGAGCCCACAGCCTGGACATGTGTCCTGGCCAGGAATGGAACCTGCAGCCTTTCAGTGCACGGAACGATGCCCAACCAACTGGGCCACACCAGCCGGGGCCCTCTTTGTAATTATTTAAAAAGTCATGTGTAGGGTGTTCTTTATTCAAATAAATAAATGGAATTTCAAAACCTGAGAAATGCATGTAAAGTACTTTGCAGAGTCTTGACACTTAATACTCTATAAATGTTAGTTTTCATTATTATACATATTATTCTAAAGCAGTTTTTAAGAACTGTTTCTTTTGGAAAATGATTCCCCCCAAAAGCTAAATGCTCCTTGATGGAGCTGAAGAGGAAGAGGCTAAAGCAAGTGATGCTTCTTAGTTAGAAACTAGGAGTTTCGAGGGGAAACACCTGCCTTTGACTTGGCTCCTCGCTGAGTCAGGTGAGGCTGATGCCTGGGCACCTGGGGCAGCAGGGCACCTCTGCTGGGGAGGGAGGCGGGCCTGGTCAGGAAGGGCCTTGAATGCACGTAAGTCCGCAGCCTGTCTTGAGACCTGTCTCTGCAACCCGCTGGCTGAGTGACCTTGGGCAAGTCATTGAACCTCTGAGCCATCAGATTTTCATTTGACAAATGAGGATAATGATACTCATCTGCCTTCCAGGGCTGCTGTGAGAGTTGTAGGAGGTATGTGGCAGTTACCACCGTCACATCTTTATTTTCATTGTTAAAAGGCATTTGGGCTTTATCCTGGAACAATGGGGGCCGGTAAAAGGCTTTCTGCCTGGTGTGGTAAGGTTAGATTTTATGGGTTAAAGAGGTCACTCTGGAGGTCAATTGGGAGCGAGGACTGGAAGAACAGGGAACTGAGGATTTTGTGTGTGACCCTGCCCACTCCCATCCCATTTGACCTCTCTGAGCAGCACCCTTAGCCATGAATTGGACTAACCCAGCAAAAGTATGGTTCTGGATTGTGGCAGGAAAACAAAATCTGAATGTAACTAACAGAGCTTTACCTTATCCACTTGTCTGGGATGGTTTTTATGCTAATCCTATTTCAAGCAAAAGCAACTCAGACTAATAAAAGCAGAGCCTCAGCTCACAGGACTCTGCACCATCTGTCAGTCCACACACGTGGGGTTAGCTTTGCTTGGTATCGTAGACTGGGCTGCTTGGCTGCATGGGTCCTCGTGGGCCAGCCTGGAGGTGTGGAGAGGGAGTCATTCATTCGTTCACTCACACATTCATTCAGCACATATGTATGGGGTCCTCCCAGGGGAGCAAGGGGAGACGACACAGACAAGGTTGCTGCTCCCATGAAGGGTGTGCTCTGGTGGGGGAAGCAGAAAAATAAATGAGTATGATGAGTTCAGATGGTGTTAAATCCTGTGAAGAAAGCAAGCACTGATGTCTCAGAGAGAGTTGGGGGGGTGAGGGCCTCGTTAGAGAGGAAGTCCAGGGAAGACCTATCTGAGGAGGTGACACATGAAAAACAAGGAGTCAGCACGGGATCGGCAGTGTGCCAAGCATAAGAAACAGTGGCAAGTCTGAGGGACAGAGGCCAGAGCAGGCCTAGCCAGGGGTAGGAGTGAAGATGGAGACAGTACCAGAGGTCAAGACATGTTAGGACCGCCAGGCATGGCTCAGCTGTTAAGCATCGACCTAGGATTCAGGAGATCGCGGCTTGATTCCCGGTCAGGGCACATGCCAGGGTTGTGGGCTCAGCTCCCGGCCGGGGGCGTGCAGGAGGCAGCCCATCAGTGACTCTCGTCATTGATGTTTCTCTCTCTCTCCCTCTCCCTTCCTCTCTCTGAAATCAATAAAGATACATTAAAAAAAAAAAAAAAACCCATGTAGGACCTCGTAGGCCACTGTAAGGACTTGGTGTGATGTGGGCCACTGGAGAGCTTTGTGCAGGGAGCGAGATGACCTGAAACGTGTTTTAGATGTTCACTCTGACTGCTAGGTGGAGAACTGATCACAGGAGGGACAAGAGCACCTCCAAGGAGACGAAGTGCAGGGAGCGAGATGACCTGAAATGTGTTTTAGATGTTCACTCTGACTGCTAGGTGGAGAATTGATCACAGGAGGGACAAGAGCACCTCCAAGGAGACGAAGTAAGAGGCTCTGGCACTGGGGGCAGGAGATGAGTAAGGATTTTAGAGGTAACTGTGAGAGTAAGATAAAGAGGGTAGAGTACCTACCCTAGTCTCTAGGATGTAGCAGGAGCTCATTACATGGTGGTTGGGGTTTTGACTGTGTTGACTCTTCTGTGCCAAACATCCTCCCCAAAATACCTTTCAAAAATCTTGATATTTTATCAGCTCAAGTACTGGCCTGGGTCCCCCTGTGACAATGTGAGATGCATTTTGCCTTGTGGGCTGCCCTCCAATCATGTCCCCCATGGCCACATGGGCTGCTTACCTCTGAAGTGCACCTCTGGTGGGCCATGCATTTTCTGGCTCTGAAGCAATCAAATCTATAGTGCTTCCTCAGGGAGCCGTGCTCTCTGAGTCAGGCAGGAGGGGACAGCCTCTTGCATGTATAGAGATTTCCTGCCCAGGTACCAACTTCAGAACCATGAGAAACCCATGGCTGGGGGAGGGCTTTCCTGCATGGTGAGATCTTGAGCAGGACCCAGGCATGAGTCTCACTTGGTCTTCTAATTCACTCAGTATACATGTAATGAATTCCTGCTCTGTGCCAGACTCTGTGCTGGGGACACAGAAATGACTCAGACACAGTCCCCACCCTGGAGTACACATTAAGGTAGAGGGGGAAACAAATAAATAGTGCCCGATGTGTTACAGTTACTCAGTATTTGCTGATGAAGTTACCCACGTAGTAAGCCCTGATACTGCACCTATTTTACTTAGGTGTTTCTTTATCTCAAAATCTTTAAAATTTCCCAAGTAGAAATTCCCAGCCCAGAATTCAGGCCCCTCACAGACTGGCCCCCACCTCGCTCTCCTGTCTCACATTCTTCCTTCCTGCACTTTGGCTCTGTTGTAGGCGGTGGGAACTGCACCACATGCTAGACTGGTGGGGTAAGGCCAAACCCGGGTTCAAACCTCAGTACTTGAGTTCTGGCGGGAAAGAATTCACAGTGAAGACCCAAACTATAAGAGAACGTTTATTTAGAAGATCATAGAGGTAGAAGAAGTAATCCATAGAAGAAATGGGCTGAAGAAACAAGTTATAGAGGCAAAGGAAGGGCCCTTGGAGCTTGGGACTGAGGAAGGTAATGGTAACTCAACCAGCTGGGGGGGGGGGCATGCTTCTGGGAGGGAAAGCACACTGAGTCCTCTGTCCTAGGGGGTTTTAAGGGTGGAGATTTTAGGGGCAGTCCCAAGGCAGGACCTCAATAGAATATTGAGCACTGTTTCAGATGTGTCCTTTCAGGGTCTACACCTCCACTGATTGATTGGTCAGTGCCAGGGCAGGAGGTCATTATCCAACGTAGCTGGTCCTGAGGTCAGCCATGGGGTTGCTGGTCTCGTTTTTTCCTTTTCTGGGCCTGGAGCTGAAATACAACTGAGGCCTAGATGTTATCTATAGGGAGTAAAGGTCAGGGGATCCAAACCTTGGGGCTAGTGATATGCTAGGGGAGGAAAAGTCACCCTGGGGCAAGGTCCCACCCTATAATTGTCCTTTGCTAGGCACCCAGGGCTTTCAGCCCTGGTGACATTCTGTACCTGGTCCACTGTCCTTGCTCTGTTCATGTCTGTCTAACTGCCTACCACAGCTCCAGACACATTATACTTTTTTTTTTTTTTAAATACATCTTTATTGATTTCAGAGAGAGGAAAGGAGAGGGAGAGAGAGAGATAGAAACATCAATGATGAGAGAGTCATTGATCGAGCCTGCAACCCAGGCATGTGCCCTGACCGGGAATTGAACCCCGATCGCCTGGATCCTAGGTCGACGCTCAACTGCTGAGCCATGCCCGGCCGGGCACATTGTATTTCTTATTGTCCCGTTCTTTGACATGCCTCCGGCTTGCACACACACACCTTTCCTTGTACCTGACATACCACTTCTCCCATTCACTACCTGTTAAACTCCTATACCCCTGTCAAAGCCCAGCTTAAAAAGTAGCATCTTTGCAAAGCCTTTCTGATTCCAGACCAGGCCCCTCTACGCATAGTTAGGCCCTCCCTCCACTCTGCTCCCACAGTCCCCTACTCATCCCTTCATTATGCCAGACTGCTATGGATCCTTGACTGTGAGCCCTGATACGGAGTCCTTACCTGGTTCATCTCAGTGGCCTGGAGCCTATCACAGGGCGTCACATGGAGGAGGGAGCTATTCCTGAAGCATTTTCACTCATGGTGGTGATAGGACACCAGTGTGGCCGTAGTATAGGCAGATGAGAGGGACTAGAATGAGGCCAAAGAGGTCAGCAGATGCTTCATAGGGCAGAGCCTTGAATGCCAGGCCTCAGGGTAGATTTCAGACACTGGAGAAAAATCTGAGGAAAATGGGAAAAGACTGTCAAGATCATGGGAAGCAAGTAAATACTGAGAAACTGTCACAGAGCAGAGAAGACTGGAGAGGCATGGTGACTTACGTGCAATGTGGTATCCTGGACTGAATCCTGGAACAGAAATGAACAGGAACATCAAATCCCCTTAGGTGAAAGAGTAGGGCCAGGGAACTATTTGGGGTTGTGATAGGGGATATAAATATTGATTATGTTTATGTGATGTTCTCAAAGGCTATTAGCTCCAGGTTCATTTTCCAATATAAATAAGAGACGATAACCCTTGCCATTAAGAACTTAAGGTCTATTAATAGGTCAAAAGATACCTGTACTCCTATAAGCATTCCCTGCTTCACCTCTGAGACTATTTCATGATGCATTCATTCTTTTTTTAAAAAAAGTATGTCTTTATTGATTTCAGAGAGAGGAAAGGAGAGGGAGAGAGAGATAGAAACATCAATGATGGGAGAGTCATTGATCGGCTGCCTCCTGGACACCCCTAACTGGGGATCAAGCCCCCAACCTGGGCATGTGCCCTGATCGGGAATCGAACCCTGATCGCTTGGATCCTAGGTCGGTGCTCAACCGCTGAGCCACGCCCTGCCGGGCGCATTCATTCTTTTATTCACATGGGGAAATTGAGGCCTGAAGAGCTAAAATAGCTTGTCTCAAGTTACTAGTTGAATAGTAATAAGCCAATGATTATCCTACTCAGAGGTAGTCATGAAGGGCTGTAGAGAAAAATCTTGCGAATCATATAATTTGTTCTCACACAGCACAGTTGTTTGTATGTTTTCTGCATTAAAAAATATATATGTGTGTGTGATATTTATATTCGCTGTGAAAAAACAATCTGGGAGTAAATGCAATGTGGGATCCTAGATTGAATCCTGGGACAGAAAAAGGGCATTAGTGAAAAAACTGGTGAAGTCTGAATGAAGTTTGGGAGTTAACAGAATGTACCCATAGTGGATTTTTAATTTTGAAAAATATACCATATTAATGTTAGATGTTAACAATAAGGGAAACTGGATGAAGAAATTTCAGCTGAGGGAAATTCCCAGTAAGGGTAGCTGGCTGAGAGGGAACAGGTCCATCAGTACTGGCGGTAGGGGATCAGTCTAGGCAGTGCAGGATGGCATCGATTATAGTCCATACCTTGTGCCACAGAGCTCCACTTCTTCGTTTAAGCTCTGAGGGCAGCTTCCAGGGTTCTGGAGGGCCTCTTTTCCTGGGGGAAACTTACAGAGAAAAGTTAGTGGACAAAGTACACCCCCCACCACCATGACTGGTCTTGAGGCCACACCTGATATTCATCATCTCCCTCTCCTACTATCCATTCTCAATCCCCCTTACCCTCAGCCAGCACCTCTCTGGCCTTAGTGACTTACAGGGTGGCATGATCTAGACCATCCAACCTGAGGAGGGGTCTGAGCCTGTGGTTACCACATCTTTCTAGGCTATGGCCCTCGCTCTTGTTGATTTACCATAAATATTCAACAAGGGAGTACCAAGACATCTCCAAATGGATCAACTGAGTATCAAAGATATATCTCTCTGCCTTCCACTGCTTAAAAGTGCCTTACCTCCTCCTAATAAACAGCATTAATTATGCCTGAAAGAATGGTGACTCTGCTCAAAGTACCCGGGTGCAGTCACAGCTAAAAGCTCAACAGTAATATTGCTTGGGAACTAGGATCTCTAAACCTATAGAACCCAGAACCGTGGAACAGAAAGCACAAATGCTTCCTGGAGTGATGGTCAGAGTGAGGCCATTCCTGCTTTCATCCCCTGGTTCCTGGACCCACGTATTCTACCCATTGGAGACAAAGTTCTGCATAATGGTCTTTGATTTAGAATGTATGCTGCATCCTGAAGGATGGCACCCTATTGTTGCAGTTTCTGAGCTGGTGCCTCACTGTGCCTTCAACAGCTAGTTCCAAACTGGCAGCTTAAGGACACTGCAGTGCATGGAAGGACAAGTGGATTGCATGGCCTGTGTCCACTGCTTCACCTCTCGTGGTGTAGTCACACAGGATCCCAAGCCAGCAGATCACTCTGTGAACCCTTAGAGAGTTGTGCTGGATAAAGCCCTACAAACAAAGCAATATCTGGACTACGTCTACTCCAGTGAAAATGAATTGCGGCTCTTTCCAGGGTGGAAAGGGTTTAATATAATCAACTTGTCAAGTGGCTGGTTGTTCTCCTCAAGGGATGGAGATGTATCTGAGACTCATAGTTGGTCTCTGGAACTGGCAGGCTGAACACTCAGCATCAGCAATAGCTAGATCAGTCTTGGCGAGTGTGAGCCCACACTATGGGTCCCAGACATACTTTCTTTCTATGCGTCCATGGTTACTGTTTATGCACCCACTGTGCCAGCTCTTCAATAGAGGCTGGCTGATGTCAACTGCATATCTGTGGCTGTTTAGTGCTTATTCTGTGGTATGTAACCTGGTGGTATTAACATGGAATATAATGACCTTCACACTTAGTGTCCACTCTCATAGGCCGAATCACATGCCTCTACCCCAGATTTCCTTGTCCCCTAATTTTCCAATCTTATTCCTTCCAGATGCCTAGCTAAGCAGACAAACTATTCACCGCTGCCCATGAGATCCATGTATATTCTAACCTTGGGCCTCTTTTCTTTCCACAAAATGTGGATGACTAGGTGCACTATCCAAAGCTCTCCATTGGAAAGATTTTCCCCTCTGCTGTCTTTCAAGGACACCACTGTGTGGGACTGCAGTGCAGCCAGTCTATTTTTGGCTTGCTCACTCATACTGAGCCGACTTACCTGGGAACAAAGCTTGGTTCTTTTCACCTCAAGGTGGATATAAAAAGCTTCTCAGGCAGCCATAGGTGAGCTGAGGGAGAGGCACTGGTGCAAAGGTGGTGGGTGACATAGATGTCTGGGCCACCTATTCATGCAGCTGCCTTCTGCCTTTGGTCCTGCTATGCGCAATGCCAGTTGTACCACATCCATCTTATGATGAACTGCTGCTGGGCTTTCTGTCCTTATGACCTGGTGGATCTGATAGACTCCAGCTCATGACGAGCAGCTTTGGCTGTTTGGTCAACTTTATCATCTCATGCTCAGACGATCTGTCTTTTCCAGAACTCTGCAGTAAATTGGGAGCTGTGTTTTGAAAAGTGTGTCATTCCTGGCTACAGATGGCATGGCTCTGCTCCAGAACCCTAGAGGTCTACATAGTGACCCTCCTCCTGGGCCTTGTCATAAACTCCACAGGCATCTTTCCCCACCACAGATACCTCAGATACCATGGATTCTGCCTGATCATACGGTCCACACAGCATGGCTACTTGTACTAGTCTGGACCTGCTGCTGAGCCCTTTCCTGATCTGGGCTCCCATCAAAACTGGCAGCCTTCTGTGTCATCCCCTATATGGGATGGAGCAGTATCCTGGGTGTAGAATATGTTGCCTCCAAAACCCAAAGGGGCCTACCAGGCATTGTGCTTCCTACTTAATGGGGGAGTGGGAGATGCAATAATTTGTATTTTACTTTGGAGGGACTATCCCTGGTATATCCCTAAAAATTTCACTGGCCCCTAAAAATTTCACTGATATTCAGACCCCCTGCATCTACATAGTGTTTTCTTGCACTCTCTGCAATGCATGTGTCTCGGTGAGGCTTCCAATATACTCATCGTTTCTTGCTCACCCAGCCCAATTAGCTGATGTATTCAAGGCAGTGGATTACTGTGATGTTCTGCAAGATGTCTAGGCAGTTCAGGTCTTTTCAGACTAGGTTGTGCGAGAGTGGAAGAGTTAACAGCCCTGGGGCAAGACTGTACATGTATATTTTTGTCTGTTCCAAGCAAATATGAACTCTGATTTTCCTTTCTGATAGGGAAGATAAAGAGAAACATTCCCCAGATAAATGGCTACATACCATGTACCTGAGAACATGTTAATGTGCTCCAGGAAAGATGCCACAACTGGCACAGCAGCTGCAATTTAAAACTACCACTTGGTTGATTTTGCTATAGTTCCCTGTTACCTTCCAGGATCCATCTGACTTTTGTAGTGATCACCATTCTATTTAATGAATTAATAGAGGCATAATGGTGATCACGATCCCTGCATTCTTTAGGTCTTTAAGGATGGTACTTATCTTTGCCATTCCCTGATTACTAATGAGGTTGAGCATCTTCTAACATGTTTAGTGGCTTATTTCCTTTTCTTTGAATTGCCATGAATCATAATCACTTGCCTTTTTAAAGTGGTTTATCTAGTCCTTGGCACTCACCTTCACTAGACTGAGAACTTCTTGGGGCCAGAGACTATGTCTTATTTATTCCTGTGGCCCTTGGATCTGGTCCATAAAAACTCAATAAAGACACACTTAATGAGTGATTTTAACAAGAAGAAAAAGCAGCAGTTGATTGGACATCCTGGTCTTCTTGAATCTTGAAACTAACCTCCTTAGCTTATGGGTAAGCCTATCCCTGACAGCAATTATATAATTTTGGTTGATTTAAAAGAAAATACAATGTCATCCAATCAAACCATTGCTCTTTTGAAATCAAGGCAGTGTCACTGAACTAAGAGAAGTTCCCAAAGCCTTGTTTTCTGGATGGACTCCCTTCCATAGCAGTAATGGGCAGTAACAAACTGAGCCTTCATCCCATATGGTTGTGATAAACACATCCAAAACACATTACAAATCTCAGAATGAGGTTCTGAGGCCTGAGGCTGCAGCAAAAGAAAACCAAGGTTGACAGGCACAAGTGTAAGAACCTGATATTCTTAAAATAAAAAAAGGCCAGCTGCCTGTTCCTTCATCAATGAACACAGTAAATGCATTATCTGAGCTTCCTGCCATTTTTCAAACCTGGGACTCTCTAATGATATCTGTTTGGTCAACTCTAAACTTCATTTGTCAAAAAATAAATAAATAAATAAATCTCTAATTTACAGAATCTTGAGTGTTTCTTTCCTTTGCCATAAATTGTTGGAGTTGTAAATTTAAAAAATTTTTCTAAAATATGTTTATGTAGGAACATTTTTATCTTTCTAAAACACATATCTTAGTAGTTCCCTTGCCTCCTCAAAAACTTCTCATGGCCTCTCATTATCTGAAGGCCAAAGTCCAAACTCCTTCACAAGGCCTCTAAGTCCCTGGCTAATTGTTTTGCCCCATTTCTCTCTACCATTCCTAAGAACCTTATGCCTCCACCACTCCGTATCACTTGCCTTTACTGACACAAGGTGTACACTTTACACCTCTGGGCTTCTGTATACATACTGACCCCTTTGCTTAGAATTAACCTTCGAGACTTGGTTCAAACATTAACTCTCTGTGAAGACTTTTCCTTCCCCTAGAATGCTATCAATCACTCTTTTCGCCACTTTCTCAACATTTTAAATAAATATCTACCATAAACACCTAGTATGCTGTACTGTAATTATTTACTTATGTGTCTGTCTCCCCACCAGACTAAGAGCTCCTCAAGGGTATAAATTATATCTCATCTATTGCAGTTTCCCTAGTGCCAGTCTAGTCCTTGGCACATAGCAGACAGGCAACATTAGTTTGTTGAGTGAATGAATGAAAATTAAGACTCAGTCCCTACCCAAAGGACCAGGACCTCCAATTCAACCACCAGAAGAAAAGGAGCAATAAGCTGTGAAGCAGACTCTAACGGTATTTAATTTCCCAAAACTTTCTCTAGCAACCGAACACATTTAAAAGACATATTCATGCCTAGATTTATAGGTGACTCAGAAGTCCTAGGACCTTTCCTCACCCCATTTCAGGAGCTGAACCTTTCATTTTTAACAGGCTGGAGCTCAGAGGTGCTTCTTAGTGGGTGGGTCAGCTAGATGGATGTCTGCACGCCTCCTTCCCCTCAGCAAGCACTCAGAAGAGCTCCATTAGTGTTCATGGAAATTCTGCACATGCATCAAGGAGAAAACAGCCACAAATAACACAGCCTGCTTTCCAAATCTCCAAAGCACATCTCTGCAATCATTTTACTTTCTAACTAACACCACTGAAGCCTTTCAGCCACAGAGCAATTTGTTTTCGACTTACTCTGAGTTCTTAAGTTAGAACTTTTTGGTTGCTTATAAATGAAGCTTCCTACTCCTAGTCTCTCTCCCTGCTGCAGTTTCTCTTCCACAGCCTGTTAACAAAAAACCAACCAGTTTCTGCGTAGAATCAGTCCATACAACCTTCACCTGTTGTTGAAGACCCTTCAGGTTTGGTCCTGGTCCTTGCCTTCCTCTCCTGCCTCATTTCCAGCTATTCCGCAAGCTACTCTCCTCTACCCCAGCCATACCAATCACCTTCCAGATATCTCACAGGTCT